ACAGCACGCACACATATATCATAAAAATACACTCCGACAATCAATCATCAAATACCTCTCTCTGTGTGTATGCATGTATGTGTGTATTTAAAAAGCTCTTTACCCACCAGTAGTGGCTTCCCTAGGGTTGGTGTACTAATTCATCGTGTCTCTCCCTCTCATACACACCCATTGACCTCCTCCCATTTCACACTGTCCAGAGTCCTTAGGAATGCTTTTTGGCACTAATGTTATTGGTAAATCATAATTCCATATACCACTGAATGTAATGTGAATAGTTGTGACATAAACAACTAGCAAAATTAAAAATTATACCTTCAGATTACAATATCATATGCACAACCGAAATGTATTTGCATATACATAGTGAATATTTGGTTAAATCTGATGTTTTTAAAGAAAATTTTTAAAATAATTTAAAAAAAATTAAAATTTTGAAATTTGAAATTTTCATTTTAAAAAATTCTGGGGCCTCTCCTTTCTCCTCCCACTGACCTTCACCCCTTTCCCACCATCTCTTAAAGCATTTTAAAGGGAAGCAGATGAATGCCACAGCCCATTTCTGCCAAAAGGTAGGTATTTGAGAAGAAGTGGTGTCACTCTCCCCTTAGGGTGTCACCTAGTGTGGTCCGCACCCCCTAGTGATACCACCATCCACAAGCAAAAACAGAGACCTTGTTGAGACAAGAAGAGTACATTAGCTTTGTCATTATGCTTATCATAACTTTACCATAAACAAAAGTATTGGCAGGGTGATTATTTTTTTCATGAGAACAATCATTCTACATCAAATATTTGGTGGTCATTATTTTTAACTTGAATAAAGCATGCTATAAGTTGAGAAGCCTTGTCCAACAGGACAAGTATTTTCAGAAAGGATACAGTCTATCTATATAGACAGAAAGGATACAGTATCTGTTTAAATAGAAAGGAAAAAGTCTATCTGTTTCATTATACAGATAATTTTAGAGTATCTTTAAAATATGATGTCAATATATTTCAAATCTTTCCCCATAAAGATGCATATTAATAATAATCATTGTTACATTTATGTTGCTGTTATTGTTGTGTGCCTTCAAGTCATTTCTGACTTCTGGCAACCCTAAGGTGACCCTATAATAGCGTTTTCCTGGCAAGATTTGTTCAGAGGACGTTTGTCATTATAAAGCAACAGAATTTCTAGCAGAATGTAGTCCATATCACACAGGCCTTTTTCAATATTATACCTATTTATAATGTATTTTGGGGTGCTGAATTTTAAAACACACACAATAAAATTGATATACCACACACAATTATTTCACAAATTCAATATTTTATAGGGTTGCCATTCAGGAGTTTGAGGAAGATGGAACAAACAGCATAAATGATCTTTTAAATGTGTCACATATTGGGTTAGAAAAAGGAGATCTGACCCCAGTCTAGTGCCTGATTGTCAAACAGACATTCCTCAGTAACAGAAGACAAGAAGAATGAAAAAGGAAGAGTACAGTCCACTCTGGATGGGTCTTTCAATAAGTTTGTAGCCATGACCACATCTTCTATAAAGTTACATATAAGATTTTAAGTAGTTATTTATGAAAGAATAAATGTCAGGAATTTTTTCTTCTGTCACCTACTTGTTTCCCATACTTTTCAGTTCTACCAAATGTACTAGTAGATGTTTAAATTCACTACATTTGAAAATAAACAGCAAAGATTGATTGATATTTCTATATTTAGATAATGTCACATGTTCCATGCTGTAATAACAAAGGCTGAAGTTTTACTTTGCTTTAAAGAAAATTGACCAATTTATTGTATTGAGTGACTTCATGCATCCACCCATCCCATTGCACTTCTATATTAGCATGGTGTAAAGGTTAAGTAACTTCCTGGATATATGGGTGGTGGAGGGTAGGGTTGTGCGAAAACAAGAATCATCCATTAATTTTCCCTGGGGCTGGTTGTTCATCCCAAAAGTCCATCTGAAATAGTTGTCTGCTATGCCACATCTTTTCTGGATCTATTAACTGTTTCAATCTGGAGGCTTTAAGTTCAGTGCATTTATTTCCAGTTTAGGATCTAGCTTTATTTTTGGGACAATATGGTATAATATTCATGATTGCTTTCTTCCCTGTTTCAGTCTTGATTTCAGTTTTGTACCTTGTTTTTCTAGGTTGATCTCTCCATCCTCACCTTCTGCTTGTTTCCCTGCTGTTGCATCTCACCAAGCATTTCTGTTTGACCATCAGGAACATAGCTGACTTTATTTCTGACTTTATGGCAACTCAACTCTAAGATGAACCTATCATGAGTTTTTCTTGGCAAGACTGGTTCAGAGGGGGGTTGTTATTGCTTTCATCTGAGACCAAAAGAGAAAAGGTGCAGCTACACTGTAGAAATAATGCAGTTTGACTGCCATGGCTCCATCCTACAGAATTCTGGGATTTGTAGTTTTGTGAGGCAAGAGCTGACAAGAAGGCTAAAGACCTTGTAAAACTATAAATCCCAGGATTCCATAGGATGGAGCTACAGCACTTAAAGAGGCGTCAAACTGCATTATCTCTATAGTGTAGATGCTCCCAATGATTTGCTCAAGGTCACTCAGGGGGTTTTCTTGGCCAAGTGTGAATTTGAACCTTTGTCTCCCAGTGACCTAGTCCAACACTCAAACCATGACACCATGCCGGCTCTTGGATGAAGTAAAGCAACAAGATTTTCCTGAGCAGAAGCAGGTTGGGACTTCTAGAATATAGTGGCCTTTATTCTGCCTGTGAATTGCATAAGCCAATGATTCACACCATGAATGCTTTCTGTAACACAAGCCAGCATATCTCAGGGCCAATGAAGATGGCCCCTAAGGGGTGGCTCTGTGCTGCCCCTGGGAGCGCCTGATCCAGGCTGCGGCAACCACACGCTGTGGCCCCAATCTGGCTTTTTGCCACTCCAAAAAGAGCTGGGAAATGCTGCTTCTTTTTGGGGCAGCAAAAAGCCATCCTTAGCACTGCGGCGGAGGCTCTTTTGCGCCACTTTGACGCAGCATGTCTACATGCTGCACCAGTGGGGCGCCCTCACGGTGGCATCAGGGTGGAGTCGGGGTGGCCAGCGTGTGCTGGAATGACAAGTTAAAAATGAACTTAGACAGAGGACAAGGGGAGGATGTGTGTGCCAATAAAGACTTTATAAAAAGGAGCTTCTTTGTCAGAAGCTGTGTTAACAGAGGTATGTATGGGCTGGCTGCAACTCACCAATGAGTGTCAACTCTACATCAAACATCAATAATGCCCTTTTGGCTGGTCTGCATCTGCCCTGCACTCTACTAGATTTGAGCCTCAGACCCAAAGTCTCTTATTCAAGCAGCAGCATCCCTGATGTACTAACTCCCTCCCAAACATCCCCCTCCCTTTCAGGTAAGACCATGGACCATCTTGATCTTCCTCATTGCAGATGAAGTAAGCAAACCTGGAAACACCACTTCTGCTGGTGCAGAAGGCAGGGCAGACCATTTACTATGAACAGTGAACTACCACAGGGAGAGTGATAGCACCAGCTTTCACAATAATGTGACTGAACATGACCATAAGCCAGAGAGATCACAGGGATGTGGTCCGAATTCCGAACAAGTATGTCAAACAGTTAACTTAAGCTGCATACACACAGCAGAAATAATCCAGTTTGACACCACCTTAACTGTCATGGCTCAATACCATGGAATTCGGAGAACTTTAGTTTTGTGAAACATTTAGCCTTCTCTGTTAGAAAGCTCTGGTGCCACAACAAACCACAGTTCTCAGAATTCCATGGCAATTAAAGTGGTGTCAAACTGGATTATTTCTGTAGTGAGAGGAGAAGGAGAGAGGAAGTATAATCCTAGTAGACCCAGGCAAAAGCAAACCCCTGTATCATCTCCTAGCTTGTGTGTTCTTCTTCTTTAACAACTTTCCCCATCTTGACCATATTGTGATCTTGCTTGCCCGGCCACATGTGTCCTAGTTTTTGTCTGTCAAATGCTGGAAGGTATGGAGATTTAAAAAATCTCAGCCTCTCCCTACCTTTAATTAATTGTCAGTCAATCTCTTGCAATAATCTCAAACAAGTACGGTATGGAGATTTAAAAAATCTCAGCCTCTCCCTACCTTTAATTGTCAGTCAATCTCTTGCAATAATCTCAAACAAGTACGGTAAATGTAGTTGTGCCTTGTCATTATGCATCCCGGGAAATCATTTCTTGATTAGACTAGTACAGTGCTATATTTTTAGTATATATTACAGGTGCATATTCCTCCCATTACTGGCTATGTGACTGATTCAGCTGTACAGAAAAACCATTGCATCAGGCTTGGAATGTATGCCGCCTTGGTCTACATGAAACAGAACAGTTCTCTCCGAGGATATTATGCATCCTACTCACAGTCATATCTTTCTATATTATCCTCAATGTGGTTTCAAGGAATGTATGGAATGTCATTCTATCTGTTAAAAAATATTGCCTGGGTCAGTGATCATACCACAGGATGCACAACACTGTTGACAGACACAAGCACTAGACATTTTCTTAACAGGAAAAGATAAGTAACATCTGAAGAGGAGCCGCAGCTTTCCAAAAAGGAGTTGAGGAGACATTCCTTCCTGTCATGAGCTCCCCCTTCCACCACTAGAAAAAAAGGTCGCTTTTCTTTAAATACTTAACAAAAGCAGGACCATAGTCTGAATGTATTTCCTTCATATAAAAAAGGATCAGACCAAACAACAGTCTTGGAAAGGAAAGAAAAGCTCAATATGTTTTTGAATGGGTTTTCTTTATATGGTTTCTATAAATAAAAGTGTTGGAATCAATCAATCCTTTAGTTTAATACTGATTATTTAGTTCACAGCTGGATAAATGTAATTGTTTGAACATAACCATCATAAGTTTAGGTGCATTTTATGGATATTGAGTATACTGTAAAATAATTCTAATCTAATAAATAAATGTAATTATCTATCATTAGAAGGAGAACCACCTATAGAATTTTATTGCCTGTGTGGCATAGTAGTTTGGGTGTTGGTCTATGATTCTGGAGACCAGAGGTTCAATTCCTAGCTTGGCCATGAAACCCACTGGGTGACCCCAGGCAAGTCACATGCTCTCAGCCTCAGGCAATAGCAAACTTCCTTTGAACAAATCTTGCTAAGGAAACCCCATGATAGGTTCACCTTAGGGTTGCCATAAGTTGAAAATGACTTGAAGGCACACAGCAGCAACAAGAAACCCTGTTATAAGACTAAGAAAGGACAAAATATTTATAAAAAGGCAAAAAAAGATTGGAAACATTCAGTGTACAAAAGAGAGTCTCAGGATGTTGAAAAAAGAGATGATTTTATTATTGAAAATAGCCCAAAGTATTTTGACCTGGAAGTATTTTATATCCCTTTTCAGGGGCTGTTAAAAGAAAAAGAGACAATACACAGGTATCAGTAATTATAGAGAGACAAATTATAATTTGTAAAACCAATTATATGTACATATGTAATCAGATTAGATAAAATTATCTCATTTTTAAAAATGCATTCTAATCACATTCAATTTATAAAGATACAAAATAATACTTAATATGTAATTTTTGTTTAATAATAAAATTAACCTGCAGGTATTCTAAATAGTGCATTTAGTTGAGACATTAATGAGTATCACCAAACCTTATGCCTGGCAAGTGCTAGTTTACTGAGTAATTATAATTGGGATAGTTTGAATAATAAAATCATCTCTTTTTTCAACATGTCTCTTCCACATTACAAAATATGTTTATAAACAGGTATTCACTTATTTTTGCAGCTGCATGTGTTTAAATCAGATCCCAATTGATTAATCCGTTTGAATTGAATCATTTCAAACATGGAGCTTGAAACACAGCTGAATCATGATAAACTACAAGAAGTATGTGTCAAGCCAAAATCCATAGAACACATTTTATATACCAACCATTATGCAGAAACATGAGAAAGATAATCATATCTATCTCTTGTCTTTTTTTCTTCCTGTTCACATAGTGTGAAAAGCAATAATGAGCTATATTTCCATATAATACAACCAATGAGAAATATTTGGAAGCATCTTGGAGTATTTTAAAAAGCAGAGAGAGCCTCTCTATGCATTACATATTTTCAAGTACACACCTGACATGAATATGATCAATGCTAGGAAAATTTTCAGTTGCACATGTGCATAGACAGTGAGGCAGAGAGCAGATGGAAAGGAAAAGCTGGCTTTCCTCCAGGGTTTCCTAATTTGTGAGGAGAATCAACTGACTACACCGCCAGCTCCCACAATGGGCTGGACACCTAAGGGCAGTCTGCACTGCCTCCCATTCTTTTGCAAGGAGAGGTCTGCCAAATTTGGGCATTTGTGGGTACAAGATGTGCTGTGCCATTATTATTTTTTTCTTCCACCCCAAATGTATGTGCATGAGCACATGGACATACTGCCAACGTCCACCAATCATCACCCTCATCCCACCCACCTACCAGCCCATTCAATGTCCCATGCAACCAACTGTGCAACTACTTGATTGCACAAGCGATTGACCACCCATATGGTATATTGATGCACCCAATGACACATTGGCACAATATAATCATGGAGAGGGGGCCATACATGTCCCATTTCCCCCCTTCTCCATGGCCCACTCTTGAACCATCTAGTTTGTTGATATTATTATTAAATCTATTATATTGTTGGTGACCTACCATATTGGTCTCATTTTGCTTCACTGGGTGTGTGATGGGTCAATAGTGCAGCTGACCACTTGTGCACATACACAACTGATTTGTGAGTGGGTGATGAATAAATATGACCAGCAATTGTATCAGCAGCTCACTAGCTCCTTTCCCCATCTCTGCACAAGCATGCCATCCGCATGCCAGTGCGACAGTTCACACTTTCCAGCTTGAATCGGAACAAACTGGGTGTTCTTTTCCTCTGTTGTTTAGCCTCAGATTGCAGCTTCATTCTGTTTCCCTCCTGCTTTGGTCATTCATCTGAACAGAGGGTTCAAAACAGAGCAAAGCCATTCTTATAGCATGTGCAGACAACCCCTGAGATCCTCTGTGAAGCTGGCAGAGTGTAATGTTTTGGTAGTGTTCTTGGTGCCATAGATGGAGGACAGAGACAACCAGCCTGGTGATGGTGGTGGTGGTGGTGGAAAGGAGATTTTCTAGATCATCTCAGGAGGCACAGCTATGGACCATCAGGCAGCTATTGAAGTGTTGAGCCAGCAAACTCTCATTGGTGCTGAGTTCTTCCTGAGTCTATGCTTAGTGAAAGATTTGGATCCCTTCCCCCTGCCCTTGAATGATGTGGAAAACAGGCCTCTACCATGTGAAATCAAATCCAGAAGATGAGAATAGGTTGGAATCTTAAAGCACACCAACTTTGAAGGAAGTCCCAATGGAGTTGGTTGGGCTTATTTTTGAGCCCACATGTATAGCTTTGTGGTGTTGTTGTTTCTTCTCATGTATGAGCACTGTAGCTCTTGGGGTGCTATAGCTTCAAATTAGGGTGTATCTTCTACTTTGGACTCATAAAGCACACACACTCTTATTATAAGGATCAAAAGTTCTCTCTTGGTCTATTTTCACAGGCATCCTTTCTTACCATGTCTTTGTTAAAAAGACAATAGATTCTTGTGTCAGTCTTATTGGCACCAGTTTTGTATAATACAGGAAACACCATTTCCTTTTAGCACTGGAAAATTAACTTGGATCATACTTTTTCCCTTTTTATTGCTAATCAGTACATACCCTGGGAAACCTGGCTTGCTGGTTCTGGAAAAAAGAAAGGGAAGCAGCACCAGCATCCATTCTACATCCTCTTCTCTGAAATGATTTAGTATTTATTAGTATGATGGGTGACTTGAAGGAAGTTAATTTAACATCCTAGCTCTATGCAAACGTACATGGAGGTAAGCAGTTTTGCTCATTTATTTCCATGTCAGTGTGTCCAAGAACATCTTCTCACATTACAAAGTATCTTCACAAAATGTGTATCTGTTCTGACTTCTACCAACACCTCAAAAATCATCATCTTTAAGAATCACCATCCTCAAGGTTTGGACATAGGAGAAGATGGTAAGCCTCATGATTCCATACTATTCTGCCCATCCCTGCTCTTACTTTGAATGGATTTTATGTCATATGTTCTCCTACCTTTACCTTATATCCCTGCTTAATTGTGCTCCTGGAACTGGTAAAATCGCTGGGCTTCTTTGGAAAGTATTCAGATATTACAAATGGTGCAGCAGTTCAACTGTTTTCAGGTGTGTCCTTTAGAGTAGTGGTTAACCCCCAGATGTTTTGGACTTCATCTCCCAGAATTCCAGACCATTGGTCAAAGCTGGCTGAGGTTTCCAGAAGCTGACGCTTTCAACATCTGGAGAACACTACTTTAAAGAATATATGTTTATTGCAAATAGAATCTGCATCATGTTTTCATGAACTACTGGCCAGCTGATGTTGATGTCTTGTAAAAGATGAGTACTCTATACTGCTTTCTCAAGTAGGAACTCTCATTGCCACAAGATCTTCATTGCCATATTCTAGGGAGGTATATTAAAGGTAAATATATCTTTAGGGAGATATATTACACAGACCTAAATGCCTGAAAGGCACCAGATCATGCCTGATCTTGGAAGTAAGAAGAGTCAGCCCTGGTTAGTACTTGGATGGGAGACTGCCAACAAATACCAGGTGGTATAGGCTATATTTCGGAGGAAGGAACTGGAAAAAACACCTCTGAGTACTCCTTGCCTAGGAAAACTCTATGAAATTCATGGGGTTGTCACAAGTCAACAGGCAACTTGAAGGCACACACACATTACAATACACTTATCTGGTAGCAGAAGTTTCATTGTGATAATACACTGCAGATTAGAGACAGAGCTCTGAAATTAGGAAGAGGTAATACCTTGAGGAAGGATATAGGGGCTTCCTACATCAAATGCCTTTCATATGATTGTTCAGATCCAGAGAAAGGAACTGTGGTAATCAGAACCAGCTACTCTAGTGCATCTCTAGCCACATCTGATTAAGGTTCTGGCTGGTTATATTTGCTTTTTCAACACTATTTTAAGATTATGTCTCCTAGATTCAGACACTTTGTAAAGTGAAGGAGCACTCTACTGAAAGTTTTAGTAGAATCATAGAATCATAGAGTTGGAAGAGACCACAAGGGCCATCCAGTCCAACCCCCTGCCATGCAGGAACTCCCAATCAAAGCATCCCCGACAGATGGCCATCCAGCTTCTGCTTAAAGACCTCCAAGGAAGGAGACTCCACTATTCTCCGAGGGAGTGTGTTCCACTGTCGAACCGCCCTTACTGTCAGGAAGTTCCTCAAAATGTTGAGGTGGAATCTCTTTTCCTGCAGCTTGCATCCATTGTTTCGGGTCCTAGTTTCTGGAGCAGCAGAAAACAAGCTTGTTCCCTCCTCAGTATGACATCCCTTCAAATATTTAATCAGTAAAATCACAGAAGAGTGGAAAAATATTCCCTTCCCACTTTCCAAATAATGCAACTGTTTTTTATTTTCACCATAAGCCCATTTTACCATTTAAATATTTGTTTTCATCCATAAAAGATCTTGCAGGAAGACAGAGAACACAAACTAGGGTAGGGTATCTACAACTGTCTGGGGACAATTGCCAGGTGGACATTGCTTTCCTGGGCTTGGAAAGCATGAGAAACCTTCTGACTCAACTGGAGGAAATAACCTGATTGTATTATAAGGTAAGGTTCCACTTCCCACTCTAAACCAATATACAATTGTAAGTTAAACTGTTGCTGTCATCATGAGATAATGCCCTCCTCCTGCAAAAGAAGTGAATGCTTGCAAATCAACAGTAAATTTAAAATAGACATTTTAGGTTCCCTTATGTATGGTTGCCATATTCCAGCTTCCCAAATCCAGCTAGCCTGATTGGCATGTTATGCAAAAAAGAGCCCTGGTGGCGCAGCGGTTAAATGCCTGTACTGCAGCCACTCACTCATAGACCACAAGGTTGTGAGTTCAATACCAGCCAGGGCTCAGGCTAGACTCAGGCCTGCATCCTTCCGAGG